GATACGCCCTGCATCCCACTGTTTCTTTCTTTCTTTCTTTTTTTTTTAAAAAGATTTTATTGGGGAATTGGGGGAGGGGAACAGCGTTGGGGAAATGGGGAAGGGGAGCAGACAAGTTGCTGTCCCACTGCTCCTGAGTAGCCCAGCAAGAATGTTCCTGCCGCGTGTGTTCCTCCCTTCCTCAGCTACCGATAAATCGCCCATTCTCACTTCTGAAATATAGTACCCCCACCCTTTTCTCCTTTGTCCAAAATGTCATATACACCCAAGGTTGTCTCATTGTCTTTGGAATTTTCATGCCTTTGTGAATTCTCCATGCACATGTATTAAAATTTTGACTTTCTCCTATTACTTTTTCTCATGTTAAATTGATTATTAGCCCAGCTAAAGGAATTTAGGAGTTGGGAGGAAAAGTATTAATATACTTTAGCCCCCACAACCTAAAACTCAAAACTAGACTTTAACCCAGAACCTTACGCTCCTGTGTTCACACGTGCTCTGAGGAATATTCTTGGATTTTATGAGAAAATGTAACCTATGGTCCAATAAATCTAGGGATTTTATGGACTAATGTACAACTCAAGCATCGAAGAGAAAATATAGTGTTTCCCTAATATAGTGTTCTCAGAGTGTGGTCTGCATAATTTAGTAAACCAATATTTTCCAATAATCAATGCATGATATTACAGAATCATGCATGCTTAAAAGATTCACTAAAGTGCAAGATAGAACAATGGGTCTTAATATAACAAAGTGCAAAAAGTGCTTTGATATGGTTTCAGAGTTCATATTACAACAAGCCTTTGAGAAACTACTGCTTGTTGAGTTTTGGTATAGTGTTAAAAAAATATCCACAATTTTCTAAAAAGGCTACAATATATTTCTTCATTTTCCTACTCCATATTCATGTGGGCCAACCTTTCTTCATATACTCAACCAAAACAACAAATCACAACAGAATGAAAGAAGCAGCAGCTGAGAATCCAGTAGTTGCCTATCAATCTACACATTAAAGAGATTTGAAAAAAAAAAAAAAAGTGAAATTATGTCACTCATCACTAAAATGTTTTTGGAAAATGTGGTTATTTTTTCACAAAAATAATATTTATGCTAACATGTAGGGAGCTTATGCTTAAATTTTATTAATTAAATAAAAATTTAATTATGTAATAATTAAAATAAAAATTTAATGAAACAATTGATTAAATTTTAAATAAATGAATGCCTGTATAATTTCTCAGTTTTAAATTTCTAATACATTAAGTATTAATATATATAATCCATATAAACTACTGCTCTTTGGGATCTTCAATAATTTCTAAGAGTGGAAAAAGGTCCTCAGATCAAAAAGTTTAAGATGACGCCCTAATGCGTTTTGATTATGGAAGCCTTTCTCTGTGGAACACCTTGAGTATATTCTATAGATCATACAATCAGAAACAGAATCTCACGTTGTGAGTATGAAATTACTCCTTTACACACCTCTTCTCCCTAAAAATTCCTCAGTGAATGAATTTATATGTTGATCAGTGGGTTTCCTCTCAAATAGTTTTGTGCCTATGACCCCGGCAGTGAACGCACAACTCTCTTCTGGCAAACACAGTTGATGCTGACCGTATCTATTTAGAAGAGGTCTTAATCTAGAAATTATTTCACTGAGAAAATGTTACAAATAGTTAAAAGAAATGATGGCATAGGGTAACATGTTCTTATAGCACCTAACCCTGTGTTACGAGATACAGTGCCAGGGACGTCCCAAGAACACAAGAGATACCACGCCAGTTACAATCCGTCATGGCCAATTTGGTTTACCATTCAGTTTCCAAAAACAATAGAATCCCTGATCGAAGTGCCTATGTGACAAATTATCATTTTATAAAATAAGCAGGATGACAGCAATGTATTACCCTGAATACTAACAATTTGTATCTGTAAAAATTGTATGCAAGCCGAAAGTAACTTAAGGACTAATTCATATTTCTACCATGCTTTTTAGAACACAGAGTAAGGGCCTTTCTCTATTTTTCATCAGACTCGAAGGGCCAATTACCGAATTTAGTTATAAGTCTCTTCTTTCTGTCAGGTATCTGAATGACGGGCCTATTCTCAGGTTGACTTTTTGGGAAAAGTCAAAAGTGTAAAGTGCTGAACAACTATTCCATGCAACAACTCTCCCCAAGGAAACTCAGTCCTTATATAGAGCTGGCCTGGAGTAAGTACAAGCTGTTCTGTCCTCTGATTCTCATTCTGGAATTTGCCCAAATAACAGAAACCATTAAGTTTATTTATGAAGTTTATAAGTGTCTAGTTTATAAAATGTTCCTTAAAGATGACCAGGATCTCATCCTGAGAACTGAAGACGCTTATTTTGATCTCCTTTTTCCTTTTGCTTTAGACTAGGAATGAAATTAGCATAAAATCTGCTTCCACTAAAACTTTCTTTGATGAACATTGTTTTATGGCCATAAGTGCTTATTAAGTTCCAGGGCCTGTTCTACCTCATTTAGTCTTCCCAGCAACTCTACAAGATAGACTATAATTATCCCCATTTTACAGATGAGGAAGCAGGCTCAGTGTTGCCTGAGGCCTCCCAGTTCATAGGTGGCAGAGAGGACTGTGAGGAATAAAGTGAAGAAATAAAATGGAGTCACTATAGTCAAGATGCTAAATTACTAAAAGCAACTAGTGTGAGGCATGAGGAAACAGTTCTATTCTTGTTTTAACTAGCCTGGGAACGTAAACTTTTGAACTTTTCAGTCCTATGTCAATACTTGGCTATACATCAAACTTCCAGATAGCCCTCTAAGTACCCCCTGAAGGACTAAAGAAAAAATGTTCACATATCCAGACCATCTGACATCCATTATTCAGACCACCTGACACCCAGTATCCAGACCGCAGGTTATCTAGAGGATGACCATCTTGGACAAATCCAGAAGCTAATAATATAGGACTTTTTACTGTAAGTAAAAAAAAAATGTACATTTTACTGTTAAGAACCCTCAGCTTTCCTTTCTTCTTCAGAACACTCTGGGCGTTGCCTCGTTGTGTCTCTGGTTTGCAAACCCTAAGATCCTTGAATCAATCTTTATCATTTAATTCTAGCCAGAGCCTCTTGAATCCTTTACACTCGGTCGACAACTGGAATCCAGGGAGCTAGTCCTTCTGAACCTCCAAACCAGGATGCTATGATGCCTATTTGAGATGCATGGACAATAATAGCATGACACGATTTACAATAAGCAGCTATCCACTTCTGTGGGTAAGATAGTGGTTTTAAGCTTAAGATTCGCCTTTATTTCAAAAAGACTTCCTTACACTCTGGTGTGTTAGGCTCCATTCTCTGTCTTCCCCATCATGCCCTGTACACGGACCACGTAGTATTTGCCTATTGATGTTTCTGCCTTCCTTCTAGCCTGAACTAATATCCTCTTGCATGGTGTCTGGAGCAGTAGTCACTGAAGGAATGAGTAAAAGAAACAAGGAATGACCAAGGAATGAACAAACAAAAGTGAATCTCCACAAGTCTACTTAGTCACCAAGGACATTAATTTCCAATTGAGTTCTATGCACCCTGGACAGCATGCAAAAATTCCAGTGGGATGCAGGGAGAAACATTAGCATTTCTATTTCTATTTACTGACCTTTACTGCATGGATTTTCACTGGCATCCTCACTGCTGCGAGTGGCAGACAGCCACAGAGGGCCTGGTGTGAGCAGTCCTCAGTTCACGGGTTCGCAGTGGGGCCCTCACCTGTTTGTTTGCTTTCTGTAGACTACCAGATTGCAGTTTACATGGCCCCAATTGAGAAAGCAGCTGTAAGGACTCTATTTTCAATTTTATCTAAACTAACCCTCACAGAATGAACTTGTAAACGAGTCCTGCACAGAACTGCAAAAAATGCCAACAACAATGCAAGCACCAATGAACAGGAAAAGAGTAGAGCTGAGGCCATTTTTACTATTTCTCCTATGATATTTTTCTCAGCCACATCATGAGCTATAACAATAACAAAGTAATCAGATCTGACATGAAATTCGCAAAAAAAAAACAACCACAAAAAAACCCTGAAAGTATCAAAACTTAGATTCATATCCACTATTCTTATGAATGGTCCTTGCCTAAATAAACACTGTGCCTTGGGAAAGTGGCTAATTGTATTCTTATACAGTTTACAAAGAAATATTTTTTATTAACAGTATCAAAAAATGGAGAGCTTACTGATCTAGAGCTTTGCTACTCAAAGTGCAATCTGCAGAGGTACCAGCATTAGCATCACCTGGCAGCTCGTTAGAAATGCAGAGTCTCAGGGCAGCTGGAGGGCTCAGCTGGCGAGAGCACGTGCTCTTAACAAGGTTGCTGGTTCGACTTCCGCATGGGATGGTGGGCTGTGCCTCCTCCCCTCCCCCAGCAACAAGATTGAAAGGGGCAACTGGACTTGGAGCTGAGCTGTGCCCTCCACAACTAAGACTGAAGGACAACAACTTGACTTGGAGCTGATGGGTTCTGGAAAAACACAATATACCCCTTCCCCAATTCCCCAGCACTGTTCCCTTCCCCAGTTCCCCAATAAAATCTTAAAAAAAAAAGAAAAGAAATTCAGAGTCTTAGGGTCCATCCCTTACCTACTGGATCAGAATTTACATTTTAACAAGATCCCCACGTGATTCCTGTGCACGCTTCTGTTTGAGAAGCATTGCTTTAGGACATACTTCTTAAATGATCCGAATCCTCACAGTTCAGCTCTTAATTATAAGTTTAGACAGATTTCTCTTTTGAAGTTTTGAACTCAGAAACATAATTTCTAATATCTGTTATCAAGTGTTCTTCAAAACTGTAAAGAAACTATCGCCATAAACCAAAGAGGTCCAGTGAAATCATCTAGGTATAACTCACCATTATCTCTTATTTATTCCAGTGTATGTAAAATGAATGTCTGGACCCTCGTACAAGAAAGACCATCCAGTCACGTCTTAATCGTTTGATCACCCCCACTTACTTTTGTTTGATCATCGGCTTTGAACACATAGCAGATACTCCGCTTATTGGCTGCATCGTCCTTAATCAGGCAAGCAAAGTAACTTGGGTCGTGACTGTTGTGAATCAGTTTATGTACATGTTGAGGCTTACACTCGAAGATGCTGGAACAGATCAGGGGGTCCCATTGTTGACTTTTTCCTGGCTCAGGTTCACATCTCAGTCCAGAGGGCGAAACGCAGAGCCGGACTTGCTTGCTACCAGGCTCCTTTGTGGAGGACTGCCCGCTAAGCCGTCGCACCTCTGCCACGACCCATGGCAGCATAGGCATGGTGGTCAGGGAATGCACGGGCAAGGAGCCCACCAGCTGGAGACCGAAGTCCACCCAGACCTCATTAGGAAACAGATGTTTCTTCGCTGTGAACGTTATTGGATCCATCTTGGGAAAGGTCTGGAAACTCAGCAAAATGTTGCCACTCTTTTGTATTTTAGACCAAGCAATGTATTTTACGTGTGTCTGGCGCAGAATCCTGGGGGAGAAACAGAGGCATTAGAATTTAATGAAGTCACAGCAACAGCTACTCTCAAAGAGTTATTATTTCAGACAAAATTAAAAGTCTGAAATTCAAACATAGGAAGACATGGGTATTAGCTTAAATAAGCTGCTCTGCTGAGAAAGAGATTTCTTGAAATTGAATTTCATATAAAGCCTGAAAATGCCATAAATGTCACACTTACGATGGACTACAAAGATCTCACCGGGACATCCCTGTTAAACTTAAGCTTCATAGAGCCCACACTGGCAAGCACGATAGAAACAATATAAGGCTACTTGGACAGCTGGATGCCCGGTTGTACTAGTTAACACAGGGGTGGGCAAACTGCGGCTCG